GAATAAGAATTGATTATTCTCCGCAGAGATTTGTGTGTTTCTTGACCGAGTCCTTGCGAGAATCAGAAAAATCCCTTTCATCTCTTCTTCTCTTTTTATTCTCTGATTTCTGGTTCTCCTGTCCTTCATCAGTTTGGTATCAGGCCAAAACTCGAATCCATCATCCACTCCTCCACGTTTGTTCTCAAGCTCCTCACCTTTACTTGTAAACTTTATTGTTTATCATCGTCAAGTTTTAAGGTTTTGCAATCTATTCATCATCTTCTATTTCATTATCAAAATTATCATCACCTTTGTGTGTTGCTAGGAGTCATGACTCCTACTACTGAGAAACCAATGGAGTGAACTGTGAAGGGTGCTGCAATTAGTTTGGATAAAAACACTTGACCCAACCCATATCCTTCATCTAAAAGAACTTGACCTCAAATTTGTCCAAAGCCTGATCCCGCCCTTTTTCTTCCCGAAATTCAATCCAAACCTTAGCCCATTCCATTCCCAACCCAATATCCAGCATAAAAACCAGGCTCATATTGTTGCCCAACAGTAACCAGCCAAAAAAAAATTTAGACCCAACCACTTCTAAATTTACACAAACATCCCCAAAAGTTTTTGAAATTATACTTTTGCCCACAAAAGTTTCAAAAATTACACTTAGACCCCAATGGCCCCTAAAATTTTTGAAATTATTGCTTCACCCCAGATGTTTCTGAAAATACTAATTGACCCCAAATTTTTTTTTTTTTTTAAATTCCCCAAAACTCTCCTCCAATCAATATGGTTAGCAGTGCCGAATTATGTCAAACTTGACACACGTGATGCTAAGCTCGATTCACTCCAAGCATCAATGAGTTCGCTTCTCACAACAATGGAATATCTACATGAAGTGTACACAAATTGACTATCATGTTTGGAGTTGAGCTCCCGAATAAGAACTTTAAGAGCAAGGTAGATATTGATTCATCTTCTTCACCCATCGGTTGTCAACAAGTGATTGAGCAAGTTCCACTACTAGATGCTTCAATCCAATTGAGTGATAACAAACCAAAATTGTTTAATGTTGATGAGCCTAGAAGTTCTCCTACTCATCCTAGATCAATTGTTTTTGATAGGTCAATCTCAAAGGATGTTCTTACAAATGAAGTTAGTCAAAATTCAAATTCATAGGATGTCACTGCTAATGGAGTTAGTACTTTGTCTCCACAGGTTTATATGCTTCCTCTACCTATAATAATGTATGTGTACAAGATAGTGAAGGATGCAACACATCAAGGAAATGTGTTCTACTAGGGGGATCTACAATGCTATTTTTTTGAAATACAAGCTTCTTCAGATCTCTGATTCTATCCTTCCAACTCTTTGAAGAAGAGTTTTTTTCAATTAAAGAGAATTGATAGAGATCGAAAAGGAATTAGATAAACTTAAATTAAAGAATTTGAATTATTATTTATTTTAGAATTATTTTATTAGTTAGGGAATATTTGTTTGATTAGGAGTATTAATTAGAGTTTGACTAGGAGTTATTATAGAGTTTTAGTAGAAAAGGAATTTAAGAGTTTGATTATAAAACTCTTTTAGAATTTTAGTAGAATAATAGTTTTTATTTTAGTAGGAGACTTGGTCTATAAATATAGATGTAAGTTCTACTATTTCATGGCAGAGATTACGTATAAGAATTGATTATTCTCTCTGGAGATTTGTGTGTTTCTTGACTGAGTCCATGTGAGGATGAGGAAAATCTCTTCCACCCCTTCTTCTTTCTTCTTCTCTTTCTATTCTCTAGTTTCTAGTCCTCTTGTCCTACATCATGAAATTAAACTCTTTAGACGCTCACTAGACAAATGACCTAACCTAGATACCACAAATAAAATTGGGACAAATTAGGAAGACAGCTTGAGAGAACCAGACTCCAAAGGAATATGTAAGTGCTTTAGAATGTATATGTCACCAGCTCTATGCCCGGTCCCAATCTGCTTTTTGGACTTCCGATCCTAAACAACACAACCATAAGAAAAAAAACACAACATCAAATCCTGAATCAGAGAGTTGACTAATCGACAATAGACTAACAGACAATTGTGGAACATAAAAAACATTTGGAATAAAAAGAGAAGTGGACAAAGAGGGAAGAACATATTCAACTGAAGCAACTTGAGAACCATTAGTTGTAACAATATTTAGAGAAGAAGAATGAGAGACACAATTACTAAGAGAAGAAAGATTAGGAGTCATGATGTGAGGAACCTAAATCAAATATCCAAGTCAAAGGTGACATACCTGAGATATGCGAATCATCAAACCTGAATGAATGGTGGATGTAACAAAGGCATGAGACGAATCTGTAGTGGAAGTAGCAAGCATAGATAGCCACTCAATCATTGATCGAACAATACTAGAAGAAACAGTGGTGGGATCAGATGTATTAGTTGTCAATGCTGCCAGAGGGCGAACAGAAGCCCAAGAGAAGAACCGCTTAATAGAAGCATGCCTATTCTGAAATTTGGGACAAGAAGCTTTCCAAAGCCCTTGCTAACAACAAAAGTTGTGTTCATCAATCTCAACAGATGGAGTAGGCAACAACGGAGGCAGTGCAGTGGGGGTAGCAAACATTGACTAAGAAGAAATGACCACATGAGCCACCTTAAATCGAGTCTCTTCAGCAATAAGTTTGAACAACTTCATCAACTACAGGCAGTGGAGTGTGTTGAAGAATAGCACCACGAAGAGGCTCAAATTGGTCCTTAAGAGCCATAAGAAATTGGACCACCCTCTGTTACTCCCTATAGTGCACATAACTAGCTAGTGCCTGTAAGTCTGATGGTTCCATAAGTGCCAACTAATCCCAATAAGTAGTCATTTGATTGTAAAATTCCTAAATAGACTTATTTCCATGTGTTGCACCTCTAATTTCCATCTCTAACTGATATTGCTTTGCAAAATTGGATTACAAATACATGTCTTCCAAATAATTCCATACTTTCTCTGCAGTGTCAAATTTTGAATAATTCATACCAATCCTATGTTCGGCAGAATTATGTAACCAAGTAAGACCTAAGCATTCTCCATCTCCCATTTAGCAATAGTTTTGTAATAATCCGTTACTTTGGGATCACATGGTTTTATTTCAGAACCCGAAACATAACCCCATCTTCCTCAATCGAGCAAAAGAAAATTTCATCACATTAGACCAAATACAACTAGTTATCTCCATTCAATCGAATACTAATTGTTTGAACCTTATCTTTTGAATTTGACATAATTTGATTGTAAAATATCACCTATCAACAAATGAACAGGAATCATGAACAATACATGTGAACAGTGCCAATAAATAGTAGCGATGAATAGTTTTTGTGAGAGGAGTGAGATGGTGCATGCGACTTTAGGGATTGCGATTTGATAGTTGAGAAGGCTCTGATACTATGAAGTTTTATTGGGTGCAAATAATACTTTCCCTCGAGTTAATAAACTAGATTACAAGAATGCATATAACCCATGAAAATTAGAAAAATCCTAAACTACCGAAAAGCCAAATATACCCCTATTATAAAAACTTATATACACTTTCACAAAGGATCCTATAATTTGAAGTAATAGAATGATGATTGGAGAATTAGTTAGTCTATTCTAATATCGGGCTTGGAAGGAATTTGTGGGCCTTCACTTGCACCCCTGACCTTAGAACTATATGTGACAAACAATGCAGTTAGTGTAGTTGTATAACTACATGTTTTGTTCTATAGGAACCTGCCCAGATATCCAATTTTCAAACAGACTTCATCGGATTTTGTATTAAAATTTAGTGACTTTTGATTATTCTCATGAAAATGATTGAAAAACCAGTGTGTTTCTCGGTTACACAGCTTTCCAAGAGTATTCATGCATTGGAAAATTCAAAACGTGATAACTCTGACACCAACTCATGCAAGGAGGGTGATTGAACGAACAGGAATAACAAGAAAACCTTAAACTTGTTGATTACCACATATAATACCAAACTAAAGCCCTCCAATGGCTTTGTTGATTTCTAGAATACCAAAACAATTGGAAAGGCATAAAACAATTCTCTTAAACAATATTATAAAATACCAAAGCCTCTTTAAGAGGTTACATCAGAGACTTTCTAATTTCACAATCCTAATCAAATTAGAAGACAAAATAAACTAGAATTCTAATTGAATATGGAAAGAAACTAAATATTAAAGTCCCAATCAACTAAGAAACAAAAAAAAATCAAAATTTTCTAAAAATTATCTAGAGGAACTTAATTAGAAAATAATTAGCCTCGTTCAAATGGCATTGACTATGTTCAAAACAAATGCCCAAAACATCGCCATGCATTCTGCATCAAACCAAACTGGAAAAATACCCTATTCAACAGGAGATTGGATAAGACTTTAAACGGATGTTCCGATAAATTTTTGCTCAAATTGTCCTACACATAGTGCACAAGGTTTGTCAATCCAGAGGTCATCTCACATAAAAATTCAGACTTTCAATTCATATCTAATGCAAATCAAAAGTTGAACATGATTAAAATCTTAGCCCAAGGCAAGATCTTCTTGGATTGGTTCAATTCTATAATGTAAGATTGAGAAATCCAACTAGAATTTGTTCAGAATTTTTGACATGTGATCGGTCGAAAGCAAAAACCAGAATGCATGAAGGGGTTTCCCTTTATGAGCCAATATTGGTTCTGGCCGATTTTGGAAGGGTCTTATTGGATTAGAAAGTCCCAATCATGTTTTACTTCTCTCAAACTGACTTCTCTTTTTGAATTTGCTGGCTAAGATTTATTTAAGACTAGATGACGCTTCACATGGTCACCCATGTGAAAAGATTTATAAAAGAATGGGTCATGGGCGATCAATTAGAGAGAAATGAAGGGTAATAGAGATATTTCCTCACATTCTCTTCATCATCGTTTCAGCACTAAGCCAACTCATTTACCATAACAATCAAGTTTATTCTCTGGCCAAATTTCTTTTAGCGGCATCAAATTATTAAAGAACTGGGGCACCACAAGGAACTGAACGTAGAGGAGTCTCAAAAGCTTGGAAGGATAGAGATGGGTGAATCTGAAGGACAATAAATTTCAGTTTCCTTATGCTGCAGCAAAGTGTACTTACATATTTGCACAGTTAAATCTCAGAACTAAGAATTTAACCTTGCATCTGTTTTCAAGGCAAGGCAGAAACAAGCAAAGAGGCAAAATTTCAAAGTCACAAGAAAGTGTTTTAATATGATAAAACAGCCAAAAAAATCCTTGTATTTTTTGCTGGTTCCCAAATTATTCGACAATACCATAGTCGTCCAACTACTAGGAAGTCAAGATTCTGTTCTTCACAAAGGCTTAGATGTACCTTGGTTACCACTCCACCTGTTTTCCACCGATAGTGCCCTCTCAAGGCACGATGCTTCTTATAATGGTGTACTTAAATCATAATTCAAAAGTAAAGCAAGATACATTAGAGTCCGCACGCGGGGGGGGCCGCCGGGGGGGATTAAAACTGATCATTGGCATGCAAAACTTCTAACAGATTTTTGGTGCTTGGATAAAATGTAAGAGCAGCACCCAACATATGCCATCAAAACGAATAAGATTAATGGCAAAGTGCAGCTTACCGGTGCATCCAAAATAGTAAATCTTGTTGTTTTTGTTTCAAAATGTGCCCTTCCAACTTCAACAGTTATTCCCTGCAAGTAGTAATACGCATTACAAGTTAACCAAACAATCATAAGCTTCATTACAAAGGAAAATAAACTATGAAAATCTGAATTGAAGAATAAAGGGAACTCATATCGTCATAAAGAGAACATTTGCACCAATTTTGAAGACAGAAAACTAGATGCATACCTTAACCCTCTCCTCTTCGTTGGTGTCCATAATGTATGCCATATACCTAACATATAAGAAATTATATTGGTTAGGAAGTGCAACTAAATGAAGCAGAAGATTTAGCTTTCCCCGGAACATGGTTGCTTAATCAAATGCACAAGAAATTAAACTCGTAACCATGAAGATCAACTACATCGAAATATATTAAAGAAGAAATCACATACGTAATATATATATATAGTGCACCAACTAGTTTTAACATAATTTTTGTGATCAAAACAAAAATTATTTGTCATCCTTTCAACTGTCCACAACTATGATAAGAAACATCATAAGCAAGATATGTTGATACACACGTGTGTATATTTAAGCCTGTTTGCATGCATTAAGAGAGAGAGAGTAATTATGGAGTTACATTAACGAATTTGCAATGCAAACTTCTATCAATAAGAACAATAAACTCAAACATCAAACGAACTTTAATCAACTATAAAATGAAACACTCTTAAATTGATATCAGACACAATAAAATTCATCATTTGAACAATAAGCATACAGAGCCATATATTGAAATCTATCATAAAAAGGCTCATGATTTGACCTTCTATTGAATAGCAAACTCACTAGAATGCTAAATTTGGTATTCAATAATGATAGTTTCATGAATTTCTGGTTGTAATTTTTATTATAAAAACCTGTTAGGTATTGGTTGAACGCAACAAGTGGAATTTGTTTATCCCTTGGAGTTGACATTTCAATCAGAAATCAACGTCAAAGAAACCTTTATCTAGCATAGTAAGATGTATATAGTCTTGCACACAAAAGCCTTTGGTATGTCACAATTCAAATACAGGGGGAATAATATGTTATTGAACTTTTTTATTATATTTTCTACTTATATTCATACTCTACAAAAGAAAATTAAGGATATTTGCTTACCATTAAAGAGAAACTGCAATTGTGCACCACAGACACATATTAAAACATATGTAAAGTATATATACCAGTGTTCACAGATTCATGAAGTTGGGCCAAAACAAGAAACGACAAACTCTAATGTCATTATACCACTTATTGATTAAAGACACTTTAAATTAACATAAGCTTTCAGAATAAATATTAGAGAAAATTTCAACGACACCCCCTCTAGTTTCTAAATCTTCAATGACACCCCTTCTAGTTTAATTTAAACATCACTAACACCCCCTACCATTAAACTACTATTTCTAACAAAAAAAAACTCATCTAAAATACCAAAAATGCCCCTACATAACCTCAAGTAATTTTTTTACATAAAATTTTATTAAAATTTGAGCTGTTAAAATTTAAAAAAATCATAAATAATAATTTTAGTAAATAATTTGTTAGTAAATACTAATTTTTTATTTACTAATTCGTAAATTTTAAAAAACAAATCGAGCCTATTAAAATTTTTGTTACATATTAAAATTTGAGCCGATTTGAACTCTACCCTAGTTGTTAGCGCCGATTAAAATTCTCTTTCAAGTCGATTAAAATTTATATTTTTTTACTTATTAAAATTCGTGTCAATTAAAATTAAATTTATTAAAATTTAAGTCAATTAAAATTCATATATTTTTATATATAAAAATTTGGGCCAATTAAAATTCAATGCGAATTAATTAAAATTTGATTTGAGTCGATTAAAAATAATTTTTAATTGGCTCAAACAAAATTTTAATTAGCCCAAATTCTAATACGTAAAAAAAATATAATTTTTAATTGGCACAAATTTTAAAATGTAAAAAAATAAATTTTAATTAGTTTGAATCGAATTTTAATTGGTTCGAATTTAATTACGTAAAAAAAATTAGAAAACAGAGGAGGTCTCATTGAAAATATACTTATCTAGAGGGGGTCTCATTGAAGATATGTTTATCTAGAGGGGGTGTGAATGAAGTTTGTCCTCAAATATATCATGGACAATTTAGTAAAATTGCATTCTACTTAATATTTTTAATCTGACAGGGGGTGTCATTGAAGATTCAGAAACTAAAGGGAGTGTCCTTGAAGATATGATAAACTAGAGGGGGTGTTGTTGAAATTTTTCCTAAATATTACAATTTGAATGCGTCTACAAGCACGCCAAAATTTATGTTAACATGATGCATAAAATTTGGTTTTTAGGTTTCTTATGCATTTTAGAAAGTGATACAAACCCTCCTAAGATTTAGCTAGCTTGATATTGGGCATACTGTTTGGTGATTTAAGCAACGGGAAACCTACTTTGGACTTGAATTTCTTCTAATAAACCCTTGGCGTCTCGTGATGGTTACACTTCTACTTTGGACTTGAATTTTTTCTAGTAAACCCTTGGCGCCTCACTAGAAGTCCTTGGATGGTGATGTTTTGGTTACACTTCTATTGTTCGTTCCATTTCACTAAATTAGTCTATCTCTATATCGCCTAGTAATCAACTGATGAAAAAATCCAACAACAACCAGATGATCATGTCGTTGTTTAAAATGATTTATGTGTTCGCAAAAAACATATCCAAGCTCGTTCAAGTGTGGTTTGAGGAACAATCAAATAGTCTCGTATAATGAGAATCGGTTAAATACAAGGAAATAAGAGAAATCCTTGAAAGCAATTTGGTGAAGAGTGTTTTGGGAACGTTAATTCGATTTTCATCCCATCAGCAAAGATAGCAAGCTGCGTATCTGCCAAGGCTGATTCACATAAAAAATAATTACACAAAAAAATCACTACTTACCCTACCTATTGAAGTCTATCATGATCTTCTACAGTATCTAAAACCCATTACTACAACACAATGTACTGCATCATTACACCCCAAAAACTATAGTGATCTTCTACAATATCTGAAAACCATTGCAACACAATGGATTGCATCATTCCACCCCAAAACCTATAGTTTTCAACATAAGAAGGGAATGAGCGAGAAGTTGAAAGAGCGAGAGAGAAGGTGATGTCCAAGTAAGTTAATTAAGCTTTTAAAATTTTAAAAATCCGTATTTCCAGTATCATAACCAACATTAAAGAGCACTTGAAAAGCGAACCAACACCTGCATTGAAAAACCTGATAAATAATGAACTCACTATTTGGCTTTGGAATTTCACTTAGTAAGTGATGTAGTGGCTGCAACTTAATATCATTCACAGAATTTATTGTGCTACAAATCAATTATACTAGGAAGACTAAAGGTTAACAAAGAAGTAAGCATAAATATAACAATTGATATCGGATAATTAAATACATATGAATATAGGTATCTTTAATCTTTTTTATAGGCAAGAGTTTCTCACTTAGTTGTCTTTTATTAGTAGTATAGATATTTGAATCTGATTTAGACTCTCAATTCTAGTTTGGCACCATAAATGCTACATTGCACCTAGAAGCAACCATTTAAATTTAAAGCATACAAATATGAACTTCGTTAAAAAAACAAAACAAAAAACTTTAGCCTAAGCTCTTTTCAAATTTTCCCACATGTTCCCCAGAACTGAAATTGGCGAATGACTTCAGCAAAGAGGCACCAGGATGCTAGGATCGAAGTATAAGCCACAAGTGTTAGCAGTCAGTCGTGGATTCTGAAACATTAGCAGTGATTAGCTATGAAGCACAGATACTTCAAATGGGTTAAAGTATCAATATCAGATACTTTTCGAATACGAATACGCGTCCAATACGGTTGGATACATATCCGATATGACTGGGAAGTATCCTAGAATTAAAAATAAATAAATTTGAATTTTGGATACTTCATGATACACCAGGATACGCAGGGGATACGTCGGCAATACAACGGGTTATTACTTCAATTTTTAAAAAAGAATAGAGGCACCATAGCATATATGTTTGAGCCCTTATTTGCTAAAAACAAATTATGGATGTATGATTTCTGAATGATAGAATAGTTAGTTATTATATCTTTGATAGATGTGTGATTCACTTTATAAATTATAATTATTATATTAAATATAATAAAAAAAATTTAAAAAAATATATTTTATGGACAAATTTTAGTCGTATCCGTATCCCTTTTTTTTAGGTTTTGTTGTATTACCGTATCCGTGTCGAATCGTATCTGTATCCGTATCTCGTATCCATATCTATATTTGTACTTCATAGATGATTANCGAATTTTAGCCGTATCCGTATCCCTTTTTTTTAGGTTTTGTTGTATTACCGTATCTGTATCCGTATCTCGTATCCATATCTATATTTGTACTTCATAGATGATTAGTATACTATTTCCTTAACAACATAAGGTGATAATAAATTTGTAAACAATTTCTCTGCCTCCTAATAGTGGATAAGAAAAAAATGGTAGTCCAATGCACAAGGCTTCCACCACTACAGGGTCAAAGAAGTTTCAAATTATGTCTTTTAAATATTTCATATTTAGTTCACCATTTCATAATTACCAAACCCCGATGCAGAATAAGAAGGTGAAGATAAAAGATACTAAAAGAAGGAGAAGAAAAAAAATGGTCAAGTATCGAACAAACTATCCACAGAGAATAATCAAATCTATTTCCATTATATCACCCTCATCAAAAGGACTTTTGCATGATTATCTAGAAGTTGTCTCCTACGTTCCCAATTCAACACACTTAGAAAAAAACTCTGTAATTAAATAGTCTAATGTACGATAGAAATAAACCAAATAAATCCTAAACAATATAATAATGCTGAAATAAAATCCTAATCCTAAACTTCAGTTCCAATAATTATCTTATTCCTTTTTCAATCATCATCAATCCTCCCCGCTGAAAAAAAAAAAATCGAAGCAGTTGGGAGAGCAAAAGTACTCCAAGAGATCCGATACACAAAATGCATACTTAACTTGGATAGGATCATAATAATGCACGCCAATACATCAGTAGAATCCCTTTGGGATTGCATTATTAGTAACAATTGGTACTAGATAAGGAGGGGAACTTTTGGGCTCACTAAATTGATATTAAACAAATTTGCCTCATCCTTTAATTGGACTGGAGCTAATGTTGGAGCTTGTGTGTAGTGACTTCTTCAACCACATGTTAATTGGTAGTTGAAGAAACATTACTAATATATACCTTTGTATCATCTAATAATAGCCAGCACTATTTCATTTAGTGAATCCAATGCTGCTTTGAGTGAAGCTAGCCCACACGTGCAAGCTTGATGCTTTACCCTATCATTTTGCGCTTTCGCTATCACCTCAAGTCTGACAAATAACTTTTGGTTGTCATCATCTTTATGGAGGAGGGACTTCAATTTTTTCTTAAGATTAGGGGGTATGGAAGTTTTGGGGTCAATACTGTAATATCAAAAATGTTATGTTGTTAAGGTAATTTCGAAAGAGTTTTAGGGAATTGGGTAATGTAAAAAAATTCTAAGGCTTGACTGAAATTTTTGAAAGGTTAGGGGTGAATCTGAAATTTCAGAAAATTTGGATTTGGTCGGACCAGTTGGCCATTTTTTTCTTGGTTGCTCTAAAATTGTCCAGCTTGCCAAGGCTAGATTAGAATTGTCGCAATGGATTGAGTATAGGATGAGTTAAAATATCGTGTTTTGTTGAATCCAACTTTTAAAACCCAGCAAAAGTCGTCGTCTTCCATCGAAGTCTGCTTCAGCATCAAAACACTACTTTCAGCCACAAGCATCTAACAGTGGTAGGGATCTAGTGGTTAGAGGCGACAAGGGGTCCACTGTGACACTCTGGATCTGACAATAATTGATGCACAATGGAAAGGAGAAGAAATCAAAAAAAAAAAAAAAATGATAAGAAGAGAGAAGGGATTTACCTCATCCTCGCTAGAAATAGTTTAAACATCACACAAATTCTCCACAAAAAATAATCAATCAAATTCCATTGGATCACTCTCATCAAAAGAATAAGGTATTACCGTGATTATTTATAGCCCAAGTCTTCCAACAAACCTAAATTCCCTTCATAATAAAATCACTCCCTAATTAAATAGGCTAATAAATCATGAAAAAAACCAGATGAAACAGAAATAATGAAATAATACTAAAATACAATCTAAAACCATAATCCTGAATTCACAAGCTTATCCTATTCCTTTTCGATCCCCATCACACCCTCAAACCATTGGTCTGGCACACGTATGTCTTTTAAATTTTTAACATAAATAGAAAGTGCTTTTCCAATTATAAACAACATTAAAAAAAAAAAAAAAAGTAAGACAAGTTTAACATACCTACAAAATAAACAAAGCTGAAGATTTAACAATTGAGTGGACCAAGTGAAAAGATACACTAAGCACTCCTAAGTAAAAGGGTGACTAAGAAACATTTTTGTAACTGTTGCCTGTTCTTCCATACAGGAAATACTAAGAGCACAATTTCATGCCATTTCAGAGAAAGAAGCAAAATGAGGTCTTACCAGCTCTCTCTACTTTTATCCTTTGCTTCTTTCTCATACTTTTGAATTGTCCGATCGTCAACCTGACCACTAAGAAATAGTATTTGCCCTCCTATTGTTGACTTGCCAGCATCTGCAACCCAGAAAAATCACGCAAGTAACTGACCAGGTAATTCATTTAAAAACATCAACTAACCAACAAAATCAGACTGAACCTGTGTCAAACAGTAACAAAGCCCAACTTTTGGTCATTCACATTTTCATTAAACATTCACTTGAAACGTAGATTGAACATCAGAATTATAAAACTCCAAGGATCACTATTGATTATGAAGATAAAAAGGGAAGGGGGGGGGAGAGAGAATTTTTTGGAACAGAGCCAAAAAACACACATCAGGAGGCAAAGAAATGAAGCACAATTGTGAAAGTAATTATATTTTTTCTCGTGCATCAAAAATTGAATACATTTATTTGTGCTTGGCAAGTCAAGTAAAAAAATCACCTCAGAAAGATTGCCCATCTGTGGGTTGGTTCTGACCCTTTTTCCCTTGTTTTTCTTTTGGAGAGGTATTCCATCAACAAGATTTCAAAGTTCAAATTCAGATTTAGTCAAGTTGGAAATGCAATCAATTCTGGGCATCTAAAAAAACACAAAAGATTTAAATCCAATTATCCAAGTACTGCAGGTTAGCTTCCTAGGACAACCGGCTGACTAGATCTAATTTTTTCTTATTTGTTCCAGCTTGAGCTAACTTTAAAGTAGTAAGTTGCTTCAGGGGAAAGTCCTTTCTCCTGGAAACAACCGTAGTATATAGACATACCTCGGGGAAAAAACTAATGGAATGAGTTCACAATTACTACCAAACAAAAGCCACCACCATTGTCCCTTAGAGAGAGGGAGCATCAAAAAAGGTCGTCAAAAAGGGCAAGGCACTGGAGGCCTAAAACTCATCCGGAGTTGGGGAATTACAAAAAAAAACTTTATGAACCTGGACACATCAATAAAACTGCCCTTCCATATAGATATTCGTGGCATGAACTTTGATGGCCCAATAATAAACTACAGTCCTTCCAAATATGAAATTAGTTCATATATTCATACAAGTATGGGATTTTCAATAAAACTTGTTACTTCCCAAAAAGAAAAAAGCCAACTCTATGGGAAACATATACTCGAATATTTTCCACTATTTTAGCACCCAGTATCAAAGAAGTTGCAGGAGATAACTTTGATACAAGATAACATTTACATGCACTTTTGCATGTCAGGGACAAGCCTCCTTGTTACTAAGTGTAACTGATACAGTATGGAACTCCACTGCCACAGGATTTCAATATTTGCTTCGTCTTAGCCGAAAAATGTAAGTTATAAATGCATACTACTGTTTATTTTTGTGATTCCAGATTTGTAAAAGAAATGTTCGACAAAAATCATGAAATATTAAAAATTTCAAACCAGAGTTCCAGAAATAGTGGAAACCAGTTTTTCCTATCAATTTCAACTCATAGCCACCAATTACATGAGATAACCCATCCAATAAAAAGTGATACTAAATCCAAATTTCAATATGTAACAGCCATTAAGGAATCGGATCCCATGGGGCCTTTGCATGATGTATCATATGCTACAAACAAGTGTGTCACCTTGCAGCCTATGAACCATGCTTTTTGTGGAAAGATATTGGAAACCAACATTTTTCCAAAGTATTCTCTCACTCTAAAACGTAGATAGTCCAATTCTGAACAAGGTTTTCGCAATTGCGAGTAAAAGACTAAGATTTGCTCAATCTATATCAACGCCAAGGATCAAAATTTTGTTTTGGTGCATTGTTTCGGTCACCTAAGAAATAGAAATGTTTCGATCCGTTTCGGAAACAGAATGAAAAAAAAATAAAAAAGTTCAAAATTATTTTTCACAAACATTGGTCGAAATATATCAAAGTATCTTGAAATATCTTGAAACATTGCGAAACAATTGTGCAAATACATTGGAATATTACAAAATACATCAAAACATTATGAAACACCTCGAATTATTAGAATTTCGATTCTATCACTGATTTGTTTCGATCTCCTTAGAAATAGGAACGTTTTGGACAATTCGACCGTTTTGAAACAAAATTTTGATCCTTGATCAACGCAATATCAAGTAATCTGCAGCATATTAAGAACCTTGGTGTGCTAAAACAAAATAAAAACAATGGCTAGATAAGATTATAAAACTGCAGTCCCCAAGTATATCTCTGCCAATATTTGACAATGCTCAACCAATAATACCTCTTTCAATTCCTCTCCTTTCTATGTACCATAAGCGTTGTATTCAAAGCTTTCCATTAACATCTCAACCTTTTTTTGTTTCTGAAGAGAAGAAATGAGACCTAAAGGTTACTAGGTCTTTACTATTATGATTGTACATTTACTTTGACAATTCTTACATGATAACATTTAATAAATACATTACATATCCAAGATGTTAAAGTCAAACAACAGATTTATGAGTCTACATCATGCAAATGAATGACTACATTCAATAACCTAATATGTAGAGGTGCATTTTTTTTCCATCTCCATGTAAATAATAAAGTGAGAAAGAGGCTTTTTTTCACATAAACTGATAATCACATATCTAACTCATCACCAGCAGATTAAAAAAAAGATCAAAAGGCTCAACTACAAAGACACATGCACACAAGTAACAATAAGGCACAAGCCAAGAAAATCCATCTTGTTGCAAGAAGCAACCAAAATATGCCAATAAAGAATGACACATCAAAATAGTCAATATTTACCAGATAATCAACATCACACTAAAATAGCACTATAATCCTTTCCAAAAGCCAAAATGTAGAACACTAGGGAAGATCAACATACCCACATGACCAATAAATACAACATTTAAGTGTCGCTTCCTGTTATCTTCCACCTCTTCTTCAGCATCTTCTGTAGGATAATAAGTGCAAGACATCATTACTGTACAGTAAAATGGAACCTGCTCATAAATCTCATTTGCAGTACAAAAAAATTGCCTCTCAACTTCAGGTGATATACATACTCCAAAAAGCGCCCCCACCCAACAAAAAAAACCAAAAGATCATAAAAAAGAGAAAAAGGGGAACGCTAAAACAGAAAGAAAAAAACAAACCTTCAATGACATTTTTTGGTTCCACATTCACTGCCTTAGAATTTGCACACACCTCTTCCTTTAAACCTGAAAAAGAACATGGAATAAACACCCTGCATATTATACTATTTATAATCTGACAAAATTTTCTACCCAGCACCGCAACATGCATATATATCCCAATAATTCAGGGCCTTGTGGTGTTGGCATTGGTTAGATATATTCACAAAACAAACCTGTGCTTGTCAAGGAACACTCATGGGATAACTAAAAAGTTCTTACAGAAAACAAAAAGATTTCGCTGGAAAAATGGCATCGGACTTATAACTGCATGCAGTATTAGCCCTACACCAACTCAATCATGTAAAAAGCAAGATACGAGCAAGCAAAAAAATCCATTGTGAAAAAGTTGAACGACAATTATTTCTTGTGCACATTGTCGGGGGTACTACCTACCTTCTTCCATTGTATCAGGTTTCTTAACTTCAACAGGCTCCCCATCTTCTGCATTAGTTATCACACTATCTTCTGCTAGCATTGAATTGGCAGTTCAATAAGATGTCAAGGAATAGCTTCTCTTAACCATAATGATTTTGACAACTTTCAATCAGTCACAAATATTACTTCAGTAAGAGTCCTAATAATAATAAGGACCATAACAGTATTATGCAAGCAATAATTAATAAATTACACATCAAGCACACAAGGTTACCCAAGTGAAAAAAGAAATAGACAATTAAATAAGATTAAAAAGGGTGTTGGGTGGTTATTTGGGAAGAAATAAAGGGTAACATTGACATTTTACAAGTAGAGGCAGTTGAATAGAGTTAAAAAGCAAGTTATGGGTAGTTATTTGGAAAGAAATGAAGGGTATTATGGACGATTTTGGAGTGGACATGAATCCCCTCCTCTCCCTTTATTAATAGTATAGATATGCCAAAGTGAATCAAACAAAAATGCCTAGACATTCTATTGAATATAAATTAAATATGACTGGTTCCTAAACCAAGTGGTTTTAATGATGTTGTCAATAGGATTGGCCGGTAGTGAACGGGGAATACAAGGGGTACGCTAGTGTGGTGGGGTTTGTTTGTTTCTCCATACACATACAAGAAGAAAACACGTACAAATGCAATGCATATGGAGAGAAAAAGAGGCATGAATATGTCCAACTGTCTGTACATATGTAGAGAGACACTCGAGCCTTGAATTTCCACACCGTTTTATTCTTTTTTAAATACTATACTTGCCCCTTTCCTATCAAGCATTGCTCACAAACGGATTCTGACAGAAGGAGAAGTCCCTGCCTATTTCCAAGGCATGGGACTTCTATGTGCCCACATCCCAAGCCATAATTTGCCAAATTTTACCCTTCGAAAAAAAACCTGAACTCTCTCTTCAGCCCTCACACTCACTGATGCAACCACAAGTAGCCATGCCAACTAGTTTTGAAGCTCAGCCAATCCTGATGAAGCAGAGCCCTAGCGACTAATAAATGCAACCACAATTAGCATGCGATCAGACCAAAATAGAAGACAACATATTTGACATCCACAAGCCGAAAACGTACTAGGACTGATGAAAGCCTAGCTATTTGGACTGCCTCTTTAGGAAGTTTAGCACATTTCTTAGATTTTGGATGTTCTTTCTCTTTAGCTATTCTTAACCCTCATAAGCCAAATTTAAGAGTGGCATGTAATCTCAATAAGCATCATTAGAGACATTTATACGAATAAAATAATGAAAAAAAACATAAGTGCCCACTCAGGCTGATAATTACATGTAAGCATCATTACAAGTTGCACACACCGACACACAAGATTTTCCTTTATTTTCTACTCCAAAAATGTTTACCTTGTTAATGAAGGTGGTAAACTTGTACTTTTTCAGTCAACTTGTTAATTGTAAATGATAGGTGATGGTAGGGTGTGTTAGCATTACATATTTTACTGACTACAAGGATTTGAATAAAAACAAATCCCTTTTACTGAAAAAATGGTGTAAGACATAGAACGTGAAAAAACTATGCCAACTCAATCGTGGAAAGGCAGGAGAAATGGCGTAAATACCTTCTTCGACATTATCAGGTTTTTCAATTTCATCAGGCTTGCAATCCAGTGCATTAGCCATCACACTATCTTCTGTTAGGATGCAAGAAAATTCAAAAATATACTCAAAAATAGCATGTCTTCATTTCTAAAACAATAAGGGTTATGTGATTAATCACTATCATACATGTTAGTAATTAAGGGACTAACAATTGTTCACAAAAACCTCATTTTTAATAATTCAACAACACAATAGTGCAATAGCAGTTATACCAGATGAATCAAGCTGCAACGCTCGAATGTCCTCCTCAATATCTATCATATGAAACAAATCCAGTACGTTATTCACCAACAATCATAGCAGTACTTACATGTAAAATGAGGGTATAGAAATACACACACGCACATAGATACAAGTAAGTACATATATTATTAGTCAGGGACCAAACTCATAATTACCCAAGTTTGTGTATCCATACATATATAGCTACCACAAAAAACCTCCTCTCTTGTTTCAATATATGTGTGTATATATTACATAGACACATAAGACAACAGACAGTGCAAAATACAATAATTGTGAATGGTCGTAATGAGTTTTTTCCAATCAATTCCTTTTCTTTCCAGTTTTTTCAATTCTCAGCAAAAAAACACCGTGCAATCAAACGTTCACATCTTATCTGAATCACACTGCAGTTCAACAGTTCCCTTTATTTTCCTCCAGTTCTCCGGCAACCAAACAACAAGCAATCAAAACTATGCACAAAATCGATGTCCAATGAACTGGATTTACAAAAATCAGCGAATCGCATAAACGTAGAGCTATAAAACTGATGAACGCAAATTGAAAATAATTCAGATAGAAAGCGGGATTACCCATTGGAGACGGTGTGCGGGCACTAGGGTTTTTACGAAAATGAACAGAAGAGCCGAGGGAGAGAAAGGCGTGTGGGACTCCGAAAAGTACCACCTATATAAGCGGACAAAGTATACTGTGCAACTCCGTTTGCTTGCAAAGCAAATGCGTCCACCCGGTTGAACCCTGAATATTGGGGTTGAACTTCCGGCTCAGTTGTCAAACCGGCCAAAAATGAGATGGATTTGCAATTATTAACAAGTTTTCCTAAAAACAAAACCTCCAAATTCAACGGGGGAACTGGACTAAGATTACTTTAATATAACTTGCATCCCGAAAAATTATTCAAATTTTAATTTGTATTCTCAAAGTTTAAAAATTTTAATTTATATCCTGAAAGATAAAAGTACGTATCAATGTACACTTAGGACTAATTATCATTTATTTTGCCTTCAAAAAAGTTTGTATTAATTATAAATTGCACGCCTTAAATTTAAATATTTCACATTTATGATTCAAAAAAAATTTCATTCATTAATGCTCGTTAAATAACTTTCAATTGTATCGTGTTATAACATTTTCGTGTCGTATTCAAGTTAATAAAAAAAATTAACACAAAACTTATTTTCTCGTCGAATTAATTGCGTTGTGTCATATATTTTACATTTACAGCAATTTATAAAATACTAGTTAATATTTTTTAAAAAAATAAAAATTATATTTTTTGTCTATTATACTCGTTAAATAACTATTTTCTGTTTACAGTTGTGTTATTCATATCTAACTTTAATTTGATCGAACAATCAAAAGATTTGTATCGAACTGTGGACAGAAAATAGCTATTTAACAAGTATTTGAGCAAAAAATAAGCATATTACAAATTTTTTGAAGTTTTGAAAATATTTTTTTTAATTGACTCAAACACGACATGAAGTGTTATGATACGATAACCTTTTACCAAGTATTAATGGATGAAATTATTTTTGGATTATAAATATGAAATATTTAAACTTTGAGGGATATAATTTATAATTAGCCCAAACTTTTTTAATAGCAAAATGGATGGAGTTAGCCCCAGGTGCACATTAATAAGAATTTATATCTTTCAGGGTATAAATTGATATTTTTAAAATTTGAGAGTGCAAATTGAAATTTGAGTGATCTTTCGGGATGTAGAGACTAACCCTATGTTGTTCATTTTTCTTCTTAGTGGTTTACTGCTACCTCCTTAGCTCGTTGGATCGACATTGGCATGTGGTTGTGTCTCCCAAAAGCGTTCATGCCTTAACCAAATTGGGTTATGTTTGGAGAATTAAACCCTTAGTGTAAAGTTGGCTTTCTAAGGACTTGAACGTTTCCTTGGTTGGGTTACAAAGTGGTTCGTCAAAGGCTCAAGTATCATGCAACGAGTATGCCCTTGACTCAAGTTATTATAACTCCTCAACTCAGAGTATATCTGTTACTGTCAATAGAGTTTTGCTCACTAATGTTATTATAGGAAGTGCTCCACGAATGGGGTACTAGACTAGCCTCCCTAGGGACCCTTATGCTCATAAGCCTTGACACACCAAAGTAAGGTATGGCTCCAACAAATACTTGCCATGGGTGGAGGCAAGGCATTCCAAAGTCCGAGATCAAGATATGGGGCTGATGATCGGTGGGGACCCGTCATTAGCAGAAGCCCCATGCATTGTAGACCCTTGCGCACATTAGGCATGACTAGTGGGTTAATTAAAGCCTCATGCATCACTGAGGAAAGTAGCTCATGCATGGGCACGTTAGGCACAAGCAAGCAAGGCTAGCTGATGAGCTCGAATTGTGGGGCATTGCTAGCTTGGAAGACCAAGCCATGGGCTGGGCATGGCTTGGCAAGAAGGCAAGGCAAATCGGGTGTTGTGAGCTTGCAAGGAAGGCATGTGCACAACATGTGAGGTGGTTCCAAGCAGTTGAGGCATGTACGCTATAAATAGTGGCGGTTCTAGATGGTTGTTGGCATGTACATGGCACACAAGACAATTCTATGTGCAGAATGCTGGCATGTGCATGGCACACAAGGCGGTTCTATGTGCAGAATGCTGGCATGTGCACAACATAAGGGAAGTTGCTAGCATGTGCACATAGCATGCAGAGCAACTATAGGCAGTTGCTGGCTAGATCATCCAACAGTTGCAACTGTCCCTACCATGACCATCACATTGTGGAAGTGGCAGAAGGATTCAACCATGATCAACAAGTCTTGGGGGTGAATCTGATGAGTGTCTGCATTGCCTAGGTGGTTGGGTTTGTAACTGTCATATTGTATATTATTTATAGGCATGCTAGGGTCTATAGTGCAACCAAAAGAGTTTAGACACGTTTTGTAAGCAGACTCCTAGTTGGTTTCCTTTAGGCTTGCTAAAAAATAAAAAGTTTGGCCATTTAGGCTGTAAAGCATGTATGCCTACTGTGAGTTTGGGAGCTTGCCCATATTTTGTTTGTGTGTGGATTTCTATGTGCATTTGAGTGTGTTGGCTGAGATTGAGTGTTGGATCTTAGTACCATCATGAAGCAAAATTCGAGTAAAATTTGATCCTCGTGACAATTGGTATCAGAGCTATAGTTTCTGATTATGGCTAATGGAAACGCTACTGAATTACATGAACGTGTGACTCATCTAGAGGATTTTTCTGGGGGCCCCCTAATGGTGATGCTACAACTAGTGTGACTGTGCAGATGGAACAATACATTGTTCCGATTGTCGGCTTAAGGATGGCTTTTGACAGTTATGTGTCCAAAAATGATGTGAAGCTTGCAACAATGATGGCGGACATTCTATCTCTCACCGACGCTATTAAAACCAACCTTAAAGATCTTGAAGATGAACTGACCATGGTGAAGAGGGCCATGAATTCTCGACCTGCTGTGGGCGAGACATCTTCAAAAATCAAGGTCCTTGAACGAAATGCCTTCTGAGGCACCCGAAGTGCTAAGGAATTAGAGAACTTTCTATGGAACATAGAGCAGTACTTCAAAGCTACCCATGTGCCTGCTAGAGAGAAGGCGACCATAACCAGCATGTATCTTTCTAGCGACGCCAGGGTTTGGTGGCAAACCTGAAATGAGGATGATGCATCTATAGGACATGCCAAAATTGAGACGTGGGATACACTAAAGAATGAGTTGAAGGATCAATTGCTCCCAAGCAACACGACCTGGATTGCTAGGGATTCGCTCAAAAAACTAAAGCACACCGAAACCGTTCGTGATTATGCGAAAGAGTTCAGTTCGTTGATGCTGGATGTCAAGAACATTTTCGAGGAGGACAAACTCTTCAATTTCATGTCTGAGTTGAAAGGCTAGGCATAGGCTAAGTTACGTAGGCAGGGAGTGTGTTATTTGCCCACTATCATCGTTGTTACTGACGACTTGATTGACTTTAAAATGGACACCAGTCAAGGCCCTTCTAAAAAGAAAAAGAATGATGGGGGTGGCAAGAAGGAGAGAGCTAAAAATTCCAAATACGCAAAGAAGACAAATTGGAAGAAAAAGAAGAACGTTACTGACTCTAAAAAATCAGACAACAGCTAAAAGAAGAAAAGCTTTGATTTTGGTTTGTTTTCTCTGCGGTGGCCCCCATCGCGTCAAAGACTGCCCCAAACAAGAGAAGTTTAGTGTCCTCATTGTTGAAAATGGGGATGATAGTGATAGTGCATGCCCCACTCGAGTTAATCTTCTATAGTTGCTAAACGTAATCACTGTGGGAAAATTTCAACAACCCGCAAAGGCCTTATGGTTGTAGAGGCTTGGGTGAACGACAAGGAAATTTTGGTCACGATGGATTTGGTAACCACCCATAACTTTGTTGCATAGAGGGAAGTAGGAAAGTTTGGCCTACAGTTGACAGAGAACTCTAGCAAGCTCAAGGCACTTAATTTTGAAGCAATGTCGGTGCATGGCATGGCAGAGATATGCTTGAAGGTTGGTTAGTGGGAAGACCATGTGAGTTTGATGGCTATCCCCTTGGACGACCTTGATGTCATTCTTAGGAATGAGTTATTTATGAAGGCAAAGGTGGCATTGATGCCACATTTGAATTGGGTGCTTATCTTAGATGAGAGAGCAACATGCTTTGTGCCTACAGTGGTGGTGGACCAAAACAAAAGATATGGCAAGCAGAAGGTGGAGATGTTGTCTGCTATGCAAGTGAAAGCCAGAAGCTAAAAAAATGATGAGAAGCGATACTCAGCACAGGAGAAGAAAATGACTGTTGTGGTGCATTGCCTTGAAATTTGNGCTTTGTGCCTACAGTGGTGGTGGACCAAAACAAAAGAGATGGCAAGCAGAAGGTGGAGATGTTGTCTGCTATGCAAGTGAAAGCCAGAAGCTAAAAAAATGATGAGAAACGATACTCAGCACAGGAGAAGAAAATGACTGTTGTGGTGCATTGCCTTGAAATTTGGAGGCATTAATTGCTAGGAATGAAGTTCACCGTCATGACAGACAACGTGGCAAACACCTATTTCAAATTCCAAAAAAAATTGACCACAAAGTAGGGCCGATGGCAAGAATTCCTTGCTGAGTTTGATTTTGTGTGGATGCATAGACCCGGGAGCCAGAATCAANCGTGACAGACAACGTGGCAAACACCTATTTCAAATTCCAAAAAAAATTGACCACAAAGTAGGGCCGATGGCAAAAATTCCTTGCTGAGTTTGATTTTGTGTGGATGCATAGACCCGGGAGCCAGAATCAAGTTGCTAATGCGTTGAGTAGTAGGAAAAAGGTCCATGATTATGTCATTGCACTGTCCAGTGTGCAGGCTAACTTCCTTGTAAGAGCCAAAGAGCATTCCCAAACTGATGTTATTTATGACAAATTGAAGTAGCAAGTTGGCAAAGGTCTAGTGCATAGATATTGGTTGGATGACAACCTGCTCTATGCCAAGGGTGGCAAACTCTATGCTCCTACGAAAAGGGAACTAAAGTTGGAGTTATTGCATAAGACACACGATTCTCAATGGGGTTGACATCTTGGAGTAGAGAGGATGTTTGCATTGCTTTCTCGCTTCAATTACTAGCCCAAGATGGAAGATAATGTTGAGGCTTATATCAGGACTTGTCTTATGTGCCAACTTGACAAGGTTGAGAAAAAGAAGGCTACGGGTTTGCTTTGGCCACTTCCAATCCCTGACAGAACATCACAGTCAGCCTCAATGAAT